GTCTGTCTGTCTGTCTGTCTGTCTGTCTGTCTGTCTGTCTGTCTGTCAAAAGGCAAGTTGCTCTGTGCATAAGTCTACAAGGAATCTTACAAGACAAATGGTGTGAATTTATATACAGACATTCAACAATCTTATCTCCATTCTGGCTATGACTCTTTTTGATGGGTAGATAGGAGTTGCCTCACATACTGTATAATCTACCAATATCTTATCTATGTATACAAACTATGTGGTATACTAATCAATGAAACTTTCTCTTACAAATAGGAGAACCTAGATGTTCCTTTAGATGACCTAGAGTCCAGTATTTCAATGTCTATAGCAGCTATTGATCAAGCCTCTACACAAGCTTTGGTAAGCAAACTTCAATACTTCAGCACTCTGGCTTCCTCCCACTGTCCAAAGGCATGCATGCAGGGTTAATTGGAAACTCTAGTTTGCCCCTAGGAGTGAATGTGAGTGTGTGTGGTTGTTTTTTTTTTGTGTGTGGCTCTGCTATGGAGTGGCGACCTCGCCTGTTGTGCGTTAGGACTGGCTGAAGCCCCCCACGACCCCGTTGGGAATAAGCAGTATACTAAATGGATGGATGGATAATGTCAACAGTTTAACTGTAACTTTGGAAAGTCAACTATAGTGTTTTGGTGTTCTTGCAGAAAACAGCCATCTCCTGTAAACAAATAAAGCCTTACCATTTCAGTCCTTTTGAAACTGTAATGTGATGAACTATAATGTCCAAGTAGATTTGTTTAATATAGCTTTTGGATTTTATGCAATTTCTTCTTGCGCAAAGTTTGACCCTAGGATGAACTTGTGTTTCCACAATGTTCTCCAGATGGGTTCTTTCTTTGTTTAGAATGGTGTGTTGAAAAGCATTTTTATGTGATATTCTGCCACTGCATCTCTGAATGCTCTAGATTAGAAAACCACATTTTATGACACATCTTCATTTAGATTATGTTGAACTTTATACATTGATCCGTTTTTTAAAAAGTATTTACAGAATCTAATTAATTTAATAAAATCATGATCAATGTAGTAACAACAATAATAATCAAAGTTGAATCCAATTAACCAAGTAAACTGGTGGTCTCTTTGTTTCAATGTTCAATTCCAGCAGCTCACAGTAAGTTTTTACCAATTTGTATGGTACCATAAAACTATAAGAATTTCCATAATTTCTACAGTAAACAAAAAAACGGGAATTTTTTTTGGTACCCCCTTATCAAAGATAAGCTGCGTAGTATTCATGGCTGGTAGGAGTCTAATGTAAGAATCTTAAGAGGGTAAAATACTGCAGTGTGGTGGTATTCAGTATTTTTTGTTTTGTGTCTATACAATGAATGCACTTTTACAATACAATTATCTCTAGATGAAACAACATTTTTTATTATCATTGATTGGCAGCAGACCTTTTCAGTTAAGATCAAAGAAAAGCCTTTGTTAATTTGCTTTTGTTTTTTTAATTACAGGTGCGTCCTCTGACCAGGACGGGGGAGGCTCGAGGCCTTTTGTGGCTGATGGAGGAGGAGGCCGTTCAGGCCGGGGGTTCAGAGGAAAATATGCTAGAGAAATTTTTTGGTTACTATGGATCCGCTCAAAGAGAAAATAAACGTAAACACTCAAACTCTCATTGCCTGTAAAAGTAACCCTTAATCCTAGGTGATGCAATGGCCATGCATTTGATGTGTCAGGGTTAAAAACTTCTTTTGTGTTGCAGGGGCCAATCACCTGTTGCAAGGAGCAAAGCCCTATCTATTCCTTTTGGGCCACAGCCATGGGACTGACTGGGTGGAGTACAGTGCTCGGGGCTGGCTGAATTATGCCAAGAGCAATCCTGCTGCCCAGAATGCTCTCACATTGCTGCAGAGCTCTCAGAAGTATGGTTACTTTGGGCAAAAACAAACAAACAAACAAAAAGAAAGAAAATTATATATTTTAATACAGAAAGTGAAAAGTATTTATTTTCACCCAAGTTTTTTTAATCTATATGGAATACCAAGAATGATTATGCAATTCTTTAACAGGTAATTCCTAATATAATTTCAGACAGAACACCAAGCTTTGACGTACAGAAAGAGGCAAGAGTAATGTGTGTATTCATTTTACAAAAAGCTCAATGAGGTAGAATAAAATGGTTATTTTCATTGGAAAACAAACAAACAGAAATTTTCTAATGATGCAAATTTGATTAGTTTTAATCGATGTTTCTCGGAATTTAAACATGCCTGGAGGTTTTAATTTAGATTAGATGTGGGCATACCTTTCTCTTTAATTTTGTTTCAATGTAAATTGTAAGGTTTCAGATAAACAAAATGCCACTAAACTTCTTTGTGACAGCAATGAAAAATACAGTAATCTGTCCACTCCAATTACATTTCAACTTGATTTAAACTTTCAATTTATCTTGCTGATAACATTAATACACTATGAAATTCATCCAATTTAGTTGAATATTTTTTGTAATGTAAGTCTTTTGAAATTGAAATGTTTGTCATGGTACATTTATGTAGATCTGAGGCCAATGTTAAAGCTAAAAAATACTGTACCTGCAGTTTTTGAGTTAAATAGTGTTTCTCAGTTGCTCATTTACTTGTATTGTGAGCCCCAAATCTACAAATGCAGTCCTGTATACACACAATTAAAAGAAGAAATAAAAAGGTATATCTTGTACATGACACATCCATGTAAATGGCATTCAATTTTTTGTCATTACAGAAGGAACATTAATGGACTGTTCATGAGCCGGTCCAGTGGGGCCACTGTGTTATCGGGCTCTGTTGCAGGTCTTGAGGGCACCTCTCAGCTTGCCCTGCGGCGAGCAACTAGCATGAGAAAAACCTTCACTACAGGCATGGCTGCAGTCAAGAAGAAGAGTCTCTGTATCCAAGTCAAACTTCAAGTGGTAAGTGCAGAAAACAATGGTTTCTAAAATAATCTTACTCTTTACGTTCGTGAATGTTTTGTTGAAATTGTTTTCTTTGAAAAATGTTTAATTTCAGTGTTCAAGTTCTTTGACAAAAGGATCCATATTCTGGTTAATTAAGTGGGCAAATTTTGAAATTTGAAAAAGTTCTGTTAAGATTGAGAACATAGAAATAGTACAAAGAAAAATCCTAAACTGTCACAGCCTAAGGCATTTTGGGTTCTTCAATTCTTGGTTTTGTTTTTGGGTTTTTGTAGTCTTTATATTTAGGTTGCTCATGCTTTCTGTGTTGGTTTTGCTTTTGGTCATTGGTCTTGTCTTGCCTTGCCTCAGTTCTGGTTTTGTCTTTGTTCCAACTCTTCCCCATTATTTATCTTTAGTTTCTCTCTTCCATCAGGGCTGAGCCGGGCTTGCCTCGTTCATAAATGACATCATGGGCATGTAGGGCCGTTTTAGATTCTGTTCTCATTTGTAATAAACCACCTAAACCGAGTCCTGCTGAGGCATGTAGAGCTGCATAAGGCTAAGTAGGTACTAATCGAAATCCCCATTAGCTGTGTTCACCTTTTCTTAGCTCCCTCAAGCATTTATTCCCCACAATATATATTTTCTCTGGTGTCTCTCAGTCATGGTCAGACCCTCTTTGTTGCCACTATGTGTTTTCGCAGTCATTTTTTGTTTTTGCTCTTTTTCATGCACTGGTTCTTGGTTTTGGCCTTGTTGTTGTTCTTGTCCTTTTTTGTGTCAAACATAACACAAAGTCTTTCACAATATCTTTCAACCATTTTTAATATGTTATTTGGATTTTATTAAGCACGCTATCTTGGCCTGCCAATCCATATTGGTTCTTGACAAGATTGACCATATTTGCTCTTTGTAGAAACTAGTATTTGGAAGGAAAAAAGTTTTAAAAACAGTGTTTCCTTGTGTATATTTTGAATGATTGGGCAAGACATATATAAATATATATATAAATAAATATATAAATATCATGCTGCTGTATGTTTTTCTTAGCACACAGATCTTGGTTACATATTGGAACTGCAATCTTAGTTCCGCCTGACTTAATCTTGAACAGAATTCTAACTAACCTTTTGGCCCACTGGAAGATTAGAATTTTAAGCAAGCTAGATTCAGGTCTTGGGAACCGAGTATAACATCACACTTAAAGTAGGCATACTGAGATGTTCCTTTGACACTTTTGCAATGTTTTGTAAGCAACAATCTTTTTTGTTTTAGGATGCAATGATTGACATGGTGCATCGCTCCAAGGTTCACTTCGTCCTCTGCCTGTTGCCTAGAGCAGAGACAGTAGGAGGAAGTGATTTGCGTGCAGCAAATGGAGATGGGCCTGATTCAGGCCTCATGACTTTGGACGTGGGTTTACTTAGAGCTCAACTTCGAGGATCAAAGCTGCTTGATGCTCTGCGTATCTACAGACAGGGTAATGAGTTTTAATACTTTATTTGTTTTTTTTTTGTGCTTTTTTTTGTTTGTGAAATAAATAAATATTACATTTTAATTTTTATGGACATCTATAGATGTGGGTCTACAAATGTACCACTTGGCATAACAATTTGGTAAAATCAGGATTTTGGAAAGGTGTATCAAGTTGGATAACCGGGTATTTGAACCATTTTTATGCCTGGGGACCAGTATTGGATAAGTAGTATCCATTATTTTTGTCCAGTGATCAAGGACAAAATTGTAATCAATTGCTTTTTTTAAGGTTCTTACAAACATACTTCCAAACTGACAAACTTTTGATGCAACTTCATGAAACAGGAAATCCTTTTATCTCAAGCAGACAAACTTCAAGTTTCTCATAATCCTTACCTTTTTATCTAAGGCCATATCACCGGCCACAGGTTAATTTGTGTTAACTAGACTTTTATGAATTTGTCAAAGTTTGCTTAATCTGAATAATTCCAATGTTAATTGAGAATTTTGTGCTTTCTGTCAACATATGAAGGTAGTATTGATTATGGTAATGTGGAACAGAATCACTATTACTGCAAGTTTGTCTGAAGATGAAGGAGAAGAATATAGTGTCAGCGTATGTGTTACACAGGTTACTGGTGTCACGAAGACACTTAAAACTGCAAAAATGGCCGGTACCACTGGTAGCGCAGATGGATAGGGAGAACGCTTTTTCTTATATCTGGTAAATCAAGTCAAGTTAAATGTACTTGTATAGAGCATTTTAAGTATGAAACTATTCAAAGTGCTTTAAATAAAAGCATTACAGCAGGGAGCAGAATGGGCATTAAGAATAGATAAAAGATTAAGTTTATTTTATCTTATTTATTTATTTATTTATTTATTTTAAGAAAATGAATCATAACATTAATTTAATTTAGATTAATAAAAACAAGCAACAAGTTTAGACCAAACAAGCCAAAACAAGTTAAAACTGTACAGTTTTAATTAATTCATATTTTTAAAGATGGATGTAGAAATGGCTACATTAATTAAATAAAATGAAAAAATCCACTGGCAGTTTGTTCAACTTCTCTACAGCATGCTTTTCCGTGTTTAGTCCGGACTCTTGACCAGCTGACTTTAATCTTTCGATCAAAGAGCTCTCCTAAGTTTATATTATATGGACATGCCACAGATGTATTCTTATGGAATTTGTAAACAATCAGCATGGTTTTAAAATCTATGCTGCGACAGAGTGAATGCCAGTGTAAAAAATGTTAAAACGGGTGATGTCTTCAGATATCGTAATACAAGCATTCTGGATGAACTGCAGATGTAAATGCGCTTCTTGGATCTTTAGTTAAAATACCTTTACAGTGATCCAGTCTACTGGGGATGAATGCATCATGAGTTCCTCCTGCTCTTTTTGGGAGAGGACGATTTCAATTCTGTGTTTCTGACTTGGTAAAAAGCTGCCTTCGTGTGCCTGCTTTGATGATGCTGCTGAAAGTGAGTACTCAGTACTCCCAAACAATTCAATTTTTTTAAATTAAAACTTTTTTTTTTGTTTGCGTTTGTCCTTCCCATAATTGCCTTCCAACAATTAAATGGTTTCCACTTTTGGCCTCTGTAAGTAAAGAGTTAATGATGGTGACTTTTTTTTTTTTTTACATGAAGTATTTTGGCCAGATTTATGAATCACAAATTTTCCCATTTCAGCATGAGGCAATAAGAGAATTTTTTTGCACAAAATTTAATCTGCAGCCCACACTTGTTTGATGAAAGGCAGCTCCTGTTCATTTCTGCGAGTTAATATTCTCTAAGTTCCTTAGTCCCAATGACTTAAAGAAGTTTACATTGACAAATCGGAAAGTTTTTTTTTGTTAGTTTTTTTTTTTTCTTTCTGTACAAAACACCACTTATTGGTTTATTGCCAGTCGATGTTTGCATTAAAATTCTTTCCTCCTTACCGTCATACTTTACACCTGAATTGGTTGCAAAATATTTCAAATAGATGATCATCCTTCATGGCTACAATGAATGAGATACCATGATTAGACCCTTTTTTACACGGATGTACTGCTTTACTTTACAAAGATTTAATTTTACATAAATGATCTAAGATCTCTATAGACCGAATATAGTCGGAGTAGTTTTCATTTGTCTTTTTTATGCAAGTCTCCATTCAGCCCAAATGTCCTAATCTTTGTCTAATATCTTTATCTACCATAAGAAAACTTTGGCCAGTGAAAGGGAATATCAAGGGGACATAACTATTTATGCTGTTTTTTTTATGAAGAGTTACAATGACCGGTGTTAACTTAAATGAAACAAGCATCACAACAGATGCAACTCTGCCAAAATAATTGAGGAGGAAAACCCTTATCAATATTCTACAGTACATAACACCACAAACTCATGAAAACCATCAATCAACTTTTTGTTATCTATTTTGTCATTATCAATGCAAAGATTATATGAAACTGAAGTAATGCAGAACAAAGAAGGTTTCAATAAAGTAATAGCCATGCATTTTGCATTTTGGCACATTATGACACCAATGAATGTTAAAATGTCTTTGGCATTGAATGACAGAAACTGTTTATTTCAAATACCTTAAAGAGCTTATTTGTTGTTTAAGAAAAGACTCAGCAATATTTATTTATCTCCCCCCATATAAATGAATTGACTGAAAGTGTCTTATTTGCATGGTTGACTCATCAGTTTGATAATTTTAGCCTATAGCTGCTATTTCCATGTTTATCAAACCTGCCATTTAAAAGGCAAATGCAATGTCATGTTGCATGAATATAACAAGGGATGGAAAACTACTCTCAAAGCACACTGGAGGATGTAGATGTTCCATAAACGCAGTTGTATCTATTGTATATACGTTTTAGAGTAAAGACAGTAAAATTAATACATTTACATTAACATGTTCCAAACATAAAGCAATTTAGGTCTTCCTTTCCTGCTTGATTACAACACAATGAAACCTGCAGTTTTTGGAATTGCACAGGCATTTTTTGTCCATTTCTGTTCTTTGATTGCTTTGATTTTTTCACCTGTGGTTTGGGAAGGTCAAAACACACCTATCACAATTTGGTTGAAAAAAAATCACCCCCTTGTACAGGGGCCATTTGAGTTCCTCTCTTTATTCTTTTTTTTTCTTTGTTGCAGATGAGACAAGTCTGATTTTCTGTTTTGTGCTAACTGTTCCACTCCCTCTCTGTCTCCAGGGTATCCAGAACACATGATTTTTTCAGAGTTCCGCAGGCGTTTTGATGTCCTTGCACCACATCTGAGCAAGAAAAATGGCTGTCAGAATATAGTTACAGATGAGAAGAAGGTGAATGATAGGCAGATTCAACTTGATACTTTTCAGACCTATTGTATCTTGTAAGAAACTCATCTCCCTCATCCATCTTTTACAATCCATGAATAATGGTGTCCCAAATGTCATAGTTAGGAAATTTTAAGATGACTTAAGAATTTGACCTAACATTAAACGTAACATAGAATAGGCCGCTTGCTTCCTAACCTGGTAAAACAAAAAATAATGAGCAATAAGCCCCTGAAGAGTACATGTCTGACATGAATCTTATTTGAACAAATTGATTACATAAAAATTATTTGATGTAAAATTGTCTTCTCCATCCATCAGACAAAGCAAGTTGCTCATTTGTGGTCCATGAATCCACATATCTGGTAGATTCAGTCTGAAATAAACTGGGGTACTAGAGTACATGGAGAGAACATTTACGCTCTACACAGAAAGGCCCCAGTTTGGATTTGTTTTTTTTCTTTATTATCATTATTATTATTATTATTCTGTACGCCTTTTCGTGTTTAACTACTTAAACATACTTCAACCGATTTTAATCATTTAATCAAAATCGTTCAGCTGTTTTTGGACATTCTGGGAATGTCTTTTGGTGTTAAAATCTTTTAAACTTTTTCAAATTTTCCAACTCTTCCCTCTCATTGAAAATGAAAAGCGGAGCCTTCAAATCGTCCACAAAGTTTGACCTACTTTAGCTCTTACTACCAGTACATACTTACAGCCTACTTGCAGCTAGAAACACCATTCAACTTTTAAGCGTGTCAAGCCATTGGGCTATTGGAATGTCTTTTTTCTTCAAAATATACAGTAGGTTTTGAAATCAATTTAAAAATCCTACTAATTTTAGCTCCTTAAAATGTTTCCAATGTAATTCCAATGGAGGCATGTTAGAGTGGGAGATCAAACGTCATGTGACGTACTCACGTACTCACTGTATTATTGACAGTTCCATTCTTCAAAAAATCTTCAAACTCTTTCAGATTACTTCCACATCCTTCAACTTTTACATGCAAATTATATCTTAAAACATAGGGAAATGTGTCCTCTTTTAGCTTTGATATAACTATCAATGCATTTCAGCTTTTAGAATTTGATCTTACAAGGTTTAGATTGAAAATAAAAAATTGAACAGACCGAAAAGGTCAATTTAAAAATAAAAAGCACCTCAATCCTTAACCCTTTCAGGCACTCATGGTATCAACATAATTCTCATGGCTTGTGTTTTGGTTCAGGAGGTCAGAATGTGAAGGGAACTTTTGCCTGTGACACCTAGGCTGTCACCATGACAACTAAGGACTGCTCTGTCTGTGTGTCTTTCACGCGCACACATGCACCCAGCCTTTGGAAACATCCAGTAATACACAAGAATACATACTTTAAATACAGCAAACACCCAATCAAACATACAAACAGTCATGCTGTACTGTCCAGATCTGTGCATAACCTCTACTCTAATCATGTGAGCTCCAGTTCTGTCCTTTGGATAGACTCTGTGACTCATCTGAAGCTTAATTCTTATAATTTCCAACCTTTCTTCGACTGATTTTTTTGGGGTGTATTTCACACATAAGAACAGTGCTCATCTGATTTGTTTCAACTTTGATATTTTATATGATCAAAATTAATTCCATGCTCTACAACCCTCATTTTATCAACTCTCGTTGTCTAACACAGGACTCCTGTCCTGTGACTCTCTTGCCAATCAGTGTTCGGCAAACTGTTGTTGGCTCTTCTCAGCCCAGAAACCCTGGCTGAGTGGAGCTGAAACTATTGCTATTTAGATTTAGGTGTCTGGAATAGATGGTAATGGTTAGGTACAATAAGGTCCAGGACAAGCTAGAGTAAATCTACGTGTATGTCTACTCAATATGTTCTGTTGTCTTCCAGGCAGTGAAGAAGTTGCTGGAGTCTTTAGAGCTGGAAGAAAGCTGCTTCCAGATGGGGTTAAGTAAGGTGAGTGATCATGCTGATTCACACTTTTTTTCAGAAACATTTCTACCATAAAAACGTCCACTTAAATCATCATCAGGCAACAAAGCGATGTTGTTTTGAATCATATTTTCTCACCCTACACCATGATATGTATAGATATAAAAATGTTGCTACTATCTTGAATAACTAATCTCTCACTTGAAATTTCCCAAACTTCATATCTAATCCAACTTTAATTATAAAGCACTTTAAAACAACCACTGTACAGAAAATTTTAAACAAAATTAATAGAATGTGAATATATGATCCAAGAGTTTTGCGATTTTTTTTCTTTTTGCTTACGATCTTACAAGGTGGAAGTTGTCTAAGAATAAAAACATTTTTCATCCTACAACCCTGAAAAAACTAACTGCAAATCAACTGCTTATTTTAGGGAAATACAGGGGTTGGACAATGAAACTGAAACACCTCTCATTTTAGTGTGGGAGGTTTCATGGCTAAATTGGACCAGCCTTGTGGCCAATCTTCATTAATTGCACATTGAACCAATAAGAGCAGACTGTGAAGGTCCAATTAGCAGGGTAAGAGCACAGTTTTGCTCAAAATATTGCAATGCACACAGCATTATGGGTGACATACCAGAGTTCAAAAGAGGACCAATTGTTGGTGCACGTCTTGCTGGTGCATCTGTGACCAAGACAGCAAGTCTTTGTGATGTAGCAAGAGCCACGGTATCCAGGGTAATGTCAGCATACCACCAAGAAGGACGAACCACATCCAACAGGATTAACGGTGGACGCAAGAGGAAGCTGTCTGAAAGGGATGTTCGGGTGCTAACCCGGATTCTATCCAAAAAACATAAAACCACGGCTGCCCAAATCACGGCAGAATTAAATGTGCACCTCAACTCTCCTGTTTCCACCAAAACTGTCCGTCGGGAGCTCCACAGGGTCAATATACACGGCCAAGCTGCTATAGCCAAACCTTTGGTCACTCGTGCCAATGCCAAACGTCGGATTCAATGGTGCAAGGAGCGCAAATCTTGGGATGTGGACAATGTGAAACATGTATTGTTCTCTGATGAGTCCGCCTTTACTGTTTTCCCCACATCCGGGAGAGTTACGGTGTGGAGAAGCCCCAAAAAAGCGGACCACCCAGACTGTTGCATGCCCAGAGTGAAGCATGGGGGTGGATCAGTGATGGTTTGGGCTGCCATATCATGGCATTCCCTTGGCCCCATACTTGTGCTAGATGGGCGCGTCACTGCCAAGGACTACCGAACCATTCTGGAGGACCATGTGCATCCAATGGTTCAAACATTGTATCCTGAAGGAGGTACTGTGTATCAGGATGACAATGCACCAATACACACAGCAAGACTGGTGAAAGATTGGTTTGATGAACATTAAAGTGAAGTTGAACATCTCCCATGGCCTGCACAGTCACCAGATCTAAACATTATTGAGCCACTTTGGGGTGTTTTGGAGGAGCGAGTCAGGAAACATTTCCCTCTACCAGCATCACGTCGTGACCTGGCCACTATCCTGCAAGAAGAATGGCTTAAAATCCCTCTGACCACTGTGCAGGACTTGTATATGTCATCCCCAAGATGAATTAATGCTGTATTGGCTGCAAAAGGAGGCTCTACAGTCATGGCCAAAAGTATTGAGAATGACACAAATATTATATTTACACATGATCTGCTGCCCTCTGGTTTTCATGTGTGTATATCAGATGTTGTCATCACATACAGAAATACAATCAATGCTTGAATTTTGTCAGAATTCCTAGGTTTTTGTTTTTCCACCCGTCTCTTGATGATTGACCATTAGTTTTCAATGGGATTAAGATCAGGGGAGTTTCCAGCCCATGGACCCAAAATCTCTAAGTTTTGTTCCCTAAACCAGTTAGATATCACCTTTGCTTTATGGCAAGGTGCCCCATCATGCTGGAAAAAGCCTTGTTCATCACCAAACTGCTCTTGGACGGTTGGGAGAAGTTGCTCTCGGAGGACATTCTGGTACCATTCTTTATTCATGGCTGTGTTTTTAAGTAAGACTGTGAGAGAGCTGACTCCCTTGGCTGAGAGGCAACCCCACACATTAATGGTTTCAGGATGCTTTACAGTTGGCATGAGACAAGACTGGTGGTAGTGCGCACCTCGTCTTCTCCAAACAAGCCGTTTTCCAGATGTCCCAAACTACGGGAAAGGGGGTTCATCAGAGAAAATGACTTTACCCCAGTCCTCAGCAGTCCGCCCCCTGTACCTTTTTTCAGAATGTTAGTCTGTCCCTGATGTTTTTCCTGGAGAGAAGTGGCTTCTTTGCTGCCCTCCTTGAGACCAGGCCTTGCTCCAAGAGTCTCCGCCTCACAGTGCGTGCAGATGCACTCACACCTGCCTGCTGCCATTCCTGAGCTAGCTCTGCACTTCTGCTAGCCAATCCCGCAGATCAAACACTTTTAAGAGACGGTCCTGGCGCTTGCTGGTCTTTCTTGGGCGCCCTGGAGCCATTTCGGCAACAATGATGTTGAAATGTGTTTTGGGGGATAAAGTTCATTTTCTAGGCAAATATTGACTTTGCAATTAATTGATGTTATGCTGAACACTCTTTTTAACATTCTGGAGTATATGCAAATTGCCGTTATAAAAACTGAAGCAGTAGACTTTGTAAATATTAACATTTGAATCATTCTCAAAACTTTTGGCCATGACTGTACACCATACTAATAAATTATTGTGGTCCAAAACCAGGTGTTTCAGTTTCATTGTCCAATCCTTGTATCTACCTATAGGTTGTGAGAAAAAATGTTAAGATCCTTTTGTTGACTGGCTTCATTAACAATTCTGTTTAGAAATCTGAACAAATCAGAAATCAGCAACATAAAATTCAGAAAAAATAGGTGGTTAACTCTTCATGGTCAGGGTAATTCAGAGTAAAACGAGCTATCAAAAAAAATATCAGCAGGCAGTCTTTATTCCAGTACGAGGGCAATGAAGCAGTGAAGAAAAGGCAGGTGAATGTTGGAATTAAACTAGGCACATGGCAGGTCTGACAGGGAAGCAGAGTCTGAAGAGACCTTAAGTAGAGCTATGAACAGGTAAAAACAGGGAAGCAATTATTGAGCAAATATATGGCAGAGCTGTGAACCATAACATAAGATACATCTCTGGATACAGAGATACACCTTTATTTTATGCTTTTTTTAAGTCACTAAAATGTGATAGATTTAAAAAAAGTTTTTGTCTTGAAGGTCTTTTTCAGAGCTGGAATTTTATCAAGGCTTGAAGAGCAGCGGGATGTCCAGACCCGGAGAAACATCTCTCTGTTTCAGGCTGCCTGCAGAGGCTTTCTGGGCAGACAGACATTCAAGAAAAGGAAGGTAATGTTTCAAAATAATTACTACTACAAGTTGGTTATAAATTAATTATCCATTTGAGAAATGACTCCAGCTTTGTACTGCACAGTTGTCACTGGCTACATAAAACAAATTCATGTTTTTATTATTTTTTCAACACGTCAGTCTGTTGCAATGGAATCCTGTAATTACCATGACTGATTCAATATTATTTTATTAAATGGCATAGATTGGGGTCGCCTCCCAGCAAGAGGGTTCTGGGTTCGAATCCCGGGGGAACCAGGACCTTTCTGGTCGGAGTTTGCATGTTCTCCCTGTGTCTGCGTGGGTTCTCTCCGGGTTCTCCGGCTTCCTCCCACAGTCCAAAAACCTGCATGTTAGGTTGATTGGAGATTGGGGAAATTACCCTTAGGAGTGAATGTGAGTGTGAGTGGTTGTTTGTCCTTGTATGTCCTGTGTGTGGCCCTGCGATGGACTGGCGGACTGTCCAGGGTGTACCCTGCCTCTCGCCCGTTGACCACTGGGATAGGCTCCAGTTCCCCCCGACCCCATTAGGGAATAAGCGGTATTGATAATGGATGGATGGCATAGATTGGCCAAATTGATCGATCCATTATTTTTTATTTACCATCAAGATCTACAAATTTGAAATTTTAATGCTAATCATGACTCTGAGAAGCGATTCCCAAACCATTTGTTAGCCACCGTTTAACAAACCCATTGGTTTTATCTATAAAGTCTTCCTTGATGCCTTAACCTTGACTTATTAGTTGCTCTATTAGTATTATGTACGTTGGGATACCAAACATGACGGGGGTAAGCAGGGAAAGGGAAAGGATGGTCAGAATAACACCAGCAGCAAGAATATGGTACAAAACTGTTGATATTAATGTATAAGATGACAGTGCAACTCCTAAAACCAGAGAGGCCCAGACAGTCAATCTTGTCAGGCCAGCATGCACCAGCCAGTGAGGTTAGTAGTCTGGGAACACAGGGTGCATCACTTGCAGTAGAGAGAAACAATGCTAGCAGGACCAAGCCTCAGACCTTCACAGAACCCCACACCTGACAGCGCTCAATGAGCAGAGGTGTGGGGAGACCCTTCCCTCATATAACCCCCCGTCAGAGGGAAGGAAATATGGAAGAAATCACTCCCACTGCTGGCAGGCACTAGATTTCCTTGAGGTTTAATGGAGACAAATCATCATCATCTGTATTGTGAATGTTTGTTTTCTATTACTTAGTTAAAATTTTGCTATTGGTACAATCACGTAAGACTAAGAGTATGGTAAAACATAAGATTGCAGAATCTTGTCAATTTCTTTGTGGATACAGTAAGAATTGCATTATATTTAATTTTAGATAATTTGTATTACTGCTTTGATGCTGTAGATCATACAGCCTTATCTTCTCTGAAACTCATGTTGTGTGTTTGTGTATTTGAGACAGATTCAAGATCTTGCCATCCGCTGCATCCAGAAGAATATAAAGAAAAACTGTTGTGTCAAGGATTGGCCATGGTGGAAGCTCTTCATCATTGTCAGACCCCTGATAGAAGTGCAACTCACAGAAGAACAGATCCGTGGGAAAAATGTGAGTTTACAGACAATGCTTAGGTGATGGTGGTAGTTCAAATGCCTATTGTGTATGTAATATTTTTTCTTATTTTGACATGTGATGATTAAAGTTTGCAGATGATCACCTGTGTAAAATTTTGCAAGTTTATTTAGTTTTGATGAAGTTGCCCTGACAATGTCAGCTGTTGTGGAAGCCCAATACCTGAAGCGATTAAAATGTAATGATATGTCACACTTTTATTTGGCTAGTTAAAGATATGTGGAGCTAAACATTCACAATCAAAAACTGCCAAAAATTGTCTAAGAAGGCAAAGAAAAGAGGAAAAATCTCTGCAACGAGCTAGAGCTACTTTAACAGACTGCTACTAGAGTGGCGCTATCTTGAGGGAAGTTTTTGCATTTCCATTAGTTGCCACTCTACACGTCTCTACTCATCTTGCCACAACTTGGTTTAGGGGGTTTTCCATTACAAATGATGTCCTAACCAAATGATAGGCCAACTGGCCCATGGCAACATTTGTTTGTGACACAGGAAGGAGACAACAATTAAAGACATTGTGGCTGCTCATATATGCTAACAATATGCTGGTTGAGCCTTGGAGTTGGTGCGTATATTAGGCATTTACAATGTTGATGATAACGGAAATAATTAAATGGGACAGTTGTTGATGCCATGTTTTTAAGATAGATGATGTTCATGTGAAGGAGTCGCTTATCAAGTCATATATCAGTGTCAAATAGTATGGTAGAACACTAGGCAAGTAGATGCTAAAATTTCAACTGTTTAGAAGCCCCAATGGAAATGCAAAAAACAAACAAACAAACTACCGGTAGTAGAGTTGAGCTGACACACTGAGTATGTACTTGTGGAAAACCAGATTAAAACATCCATAAGTTCCAAGTGTGTGAAATGCTCATCTTGCTATTTTGTTACTGGTCATAAGATTTTGATCAGGTAGCATTATATATTATGTGTGAAAATAATCTGCCCACGAAGAATTTTTGCAGGTATCTCACTGTGTAGCCCATAGAAACCCTATTCATATAGCCTTAACAAGGTTGTTCTTATACCATTTATCTTCTTATACCACAAATTCCCTGACAATCATCACTCTGTCAAAGTTTTTTGGTCATAATTCCTGTATTTATCTTTGTCCTAGAAGTTCACTGAAAATTAAGAATTTGTATGCTGTAGCCAAACAGTACAAAGCACAATGATCAACGTTATTAAGACTAAAAGACTCGTTCCAAGTAAATTTCATACTCTACTCATGACATACAAACTTTCACTAATCCCTGTGTGGTCTTTGGTTTCAACACTGGGATTGGTCCCACTATTACTTAAAAACCACCTTTGCCTCCAGACTACCCTCACAGGGTGAGTCCAACTGTGGAGTGCAAGACAGATACCATGAAAAATTAGTCTATAGCTTGGGCATACATCTGCTCTTCGTGAAACTTGGCATGTTTTATGACAGTCGCACACTTAACCAAGAACCAGGAACTCACTGTTACTCTGTAGTGCAATTGACCTTCTAAGTTTATATTTTCCATGATTGACAGAAGCCTCAAGATGAACGGAGGTATTATATCATTAATACAGTATGGCGTGACGCATGTTCAGCAAAAACAATATCTGCCTCCTTCAAGCGATATCTCGGCCAAACGCAGACCAGAACATGGCAGCTGCCAGGGCACAACCTGGAGAGTACTGATAGTGCTGGGTCTATTCATCACTGCTTGCACCTTTGATATTAATTGTTATAAGTACAATGTGTGATAGTTTCTGTTTTTTTCAGTAGTACAAAAAATTTCAAAGGAAAAAGGCTTAAATAACTCTTAAATATTACAATATTGAATGTAATATGGGAAAGTTTGAGACCATGCATTTGTGGAAATATTTGTGCATTTGGTTTCTACATTATGCAGTTATTTGTTACATAGTTATTTTCTTCATAAAGTATATAATCAAAATAACTGAGAATGTATACCAAATGGCAGGCATACCAGATACAAAGTAGTTCAGAATGATGGTGACAATTAATAAAAGGATGAATAAACAGCACCATCGTCCTATATTTATTTATTCGTCCATAAAATGTATTACATTTTTCGAACTGTATTGTATTCATTACATTAAGGTCTTTATGTAGAAATGAAAAATTAGTCTGTAGTGTAACTACATAAACATGTCTGTGTTGATCTGTATTTCTTCTCAGGAGGAAATCCAGTACCTGAAACAAAAGCTTGAGAAGACTGAAAAAGAGAGAAATGAGCTGAGGCATAATGGAGACCGTCTTGAAAGCAGGGTAAACATAAATTCTTTCATTTAAGTGTTTTAATGGAAAAGTTATAATTTCCCAACATAAAAGGTTTCAAGATGGCGTTTGGAATGTGCATTATACACTGTGTTGTTTTGCTTACAGCTTCATGTATTTGCCCAGCAAACCATTCCTTAACTCTGAAGCAGCTCACAAGACGCTTTGAAATCATGATCTGAGATGTCATACCCTTTGTACCTCTCCATCACCACTAACAGCTGTATAGGCTTCTTATCTTTAATAAAATCAATAAACTTTGATTTTGTGTGTGTGTGGGCTCATTCTGTCAGATCACAGAGCTATCATCTGAGCTGGCTGATGAAAGAAACACTGGGGAGTCAGCCTCCCAGCTACTGGAGGCTGAGACTTCTGAGCGACTTCGTCTGGAAAAAGATATGAAGGGCCTGCAGGTATAATGCTGGAGCTTTTCACTTGTACAATAAACAAATCTAAAATGAATTAATTAATGTAAAACATATATCATAAAAATAGTTAATAGACTGTTTTTCACTAAACTCATAGCTTATGAATTAATCATAACCATTTTGTTCTAAATCGAGATGGTCACTTTCTAAGCTGTCACATTTGTTTGACTGTCCACTCGCTTGATTTTTTTTTACTGTAACAACCACGAAAAGAGTGTCAGGCCGGCTTTATAGGTATCAGATAGATAGCACCTTGATAATGCTGCTCTGTGATAGAGTGCTCTTGTGTCATTCAGGCCATTTTTTGGCAAATGTTCACTTTTTGGCACAAAACCCGGCATCCTGATCATTATTGATGCACAGTGACTGACATTTCCCTGCATTACTTGGTTTGCTTCTGTGCTGTTACCGATGTAAAATATTAATGATAGTTTGTTCCCAACAAACTATTTGTTTTGGCTTCAATACATCAAAATCCAAAAAAAGCTCTTCTCGTTCTTTTGTCAGGGCAAATTTGATAGCATGAAGAAACAGTTGGAGTCCATGGAGATGGAGGTTATGGAGGCCCGACTCATCAGAACCTCTGAGCTCAACAGAGAAATGGATGGCGATGACACAGGTCAGAAACACTCATGATTTGCATAAAGCAAAAAGCAAATAACAGTCAGATGAGATATGATATATTTCGGATTATGTTATGTTCTTGGTTTTAGGTTTTGTGGATTATTTTTTGGTTACTACTATTATTTTCTGTAGCTTCTATAGCATTGATTGTGTCTATTAAATAAAAGTAAACACAAGAAACTTGTGCCATAAAAAATGGACAAGAATCATTGAAGAAATCCCTAAATTCAACAATTAAACTTCTAATACTAGCTCAGTACCTAAAGAAAATATATACAAAACACAGACATGAATCTGTAAAGTTAGGAATAAAGAAAGCATCGACATTTACTGAAAAAGCACATTTGAATATTTTAGGAAGGCAAGACAAGGCAATGTATTAGTGGAGCACATTTTGTACATATAATAGTGCTTTACACCATAAAATCACAAAAGGCAAATAAAAACATTAAAACATTTTCTAAAAAACATCAATTATCCAATTTCAAGCAAAGACTGCAGATAAAATATTTTAGTTGTAATAAATAGAACTAAATAGAACTGTTTTCTGCCTGAATTAAAACACTGTCAGAGTTCAGGCCTGTTTTGGTTTTTCAGGGGGAGTTTTCTAGACTTTAGAAGCATATTGAAATGCAGCCTCACGTTGTTTGGTCCTGACTCTGGGCACCAGCAGGAAACCAGTACCTCAAGTTCTCAGAGCCCTAGCTCGTTGATATGGCTCAAACATGTCATAGATACACTTTGATGCTAAATCATGAAAAGACCTGTACAGACCTGTACATTCTCCGAGCGACAGGAACCAGTCCTGAGCACTGGACTAATATTACTTTATTTCATGCTTCTAGTCAGGAGTTTTGCATTCTGGATCTTCTGCAGCTGTCTAACCACCTGTTAAAGGAGTCCGGTGAGCAGGCCGTTACAATAGTCTAACCTGCTGGAGAGAAATGTATGGATTAGAGCTGCTTTAGAAAAAACTAAATTCTTAAAAATTCATTATAAACAAACCATTAAAATGAAGTTTAAAACTGGATAAAAATCAGAGACAGGAGTAATGAGATTAATGATATGAAATAAGAGCATTTGAATTAGATTTATTTTTAGGTAATTACAATGCTCAGAAATTGCTGCACTGAAGTGAATGTGTCACCTCTCTGTTCACTGTCTGTAAACGATCATCTCTTGATCCTCCTGTTATTTGGCAATGTAATTGTAATAAGTAAGTGAAAAATCTATCAGCTGTATGATTTAATCTGTGGAGCAGTAAATTTACTTTCAGAATAGTGGGACCGTACACAATGTGTAAGTGTATTAAGATATAAAAAGCTAATTGTGCTTGCATATGTAACAGGAGGAGAGTGGAGACTGAAGTATGAACAAGCCATCAGGGAGAATGATTTTATGAAGAAGAGACTGCAGCAGGAGTTTGATGATAAGTTAGAGATGGAGCAACAGAATAAACGGCAGTTCGAGAGGAGGGTGAGTGGACACTGACACCTGATAATACTCACATTTTATTTGTTTTGTGTTATTACACTGAATGAAATCTACTTATTTATTTGTTTACATTGTATGGTATAATTTAGCTGCGTTTTACTATTAATGAATTAAACATTGGTAGAAAAAGGGGTACTACCTTCTTAACGGAAGGGAAAAATCTAGTCAGTCTCAAATTGCTACTTAATGCGGCCTTGCTCGGAATTGACTGAGTTACACAAATAAACAGTCCACTTTGTGTTTTATGTATATAGACTATTTACTAATAATAAATTAGTAATCCATCCATCCATTGTCAACCGCTTATCCGGGGTCGGGTCGTGAGGGCAGCAGCCGAAGCAGGGAAACCCAGACTTCCCTCTCCCCCGCCACTTCTGCTATCTCCTCCGCGGGGATCCCAAGGCGTTCTCAGGCCAGCCGAGACCCATAGTCCCTCCAGCGTGTCTTGGGTCTTTCTCTGGGCCTCCTTCCAATGGGACGGGATTATAAATTAGTAATATATACATGGTTATTTGAAATGCTGGGTACAGCCAACCAATAGATTGCACTGCCACAAGTTCCATCCCAGACATGCAATGACATACATGGTTAAACAAAACGTCAAAATTACGCTTGAAGTGTCCCTGAAAACATTAAAGATTTAGTTAGATTATGTAAGTCAACTTTGACACAGTTTTGATTATCAGTATGAAAATTAAGTTGGTGGAAGTTATTTTCTGTGGTGCAAAACTGGTGTCTGCTGAATCTGTATTTTAATCACAGTCACAGGAGGAAAGGTGTAATTCTTGATTTGCATTCAGTGATAGGGAATGCTTTGGCACTCTCCTCTTGTGTCCATGTCCACATGAAAGGCTTGCTATCTCTGGTTATGGTCAGGAGTAGAGCGAAAGTACTTCAGAAGTATACAAAAGGAGAGTCCTATCAACCCCCACTTCTGTGTTGTAATCTAAAGGAATGTAAATTACCCTCCAAAATTTACTTTGGGCCCCCTTGAGTATGCTGCATTTTCTCCCCAACCTTGATTTTTTTTTTTTGTAATGACAATATTAATATTAGCTCCATCACTTTTCTGTTAATTATATATGATAATTTCCTAATGATTTATTACAGTCTTAAACTGGCTAAAATGGCTAGGTTAATCTAAAATTAGGGAAACTGTAAAAAACACAAAAACAAATAATAAACTGTATGATTTGCCAGAATGCGACACCAGGCGATATATATATATATATTTTTTTTTGTCACCTGAATGTCAAGTCTCGACTTCCACTTGACATCTGTGTAAGGGCCAATTGTGATTGAAATGTGGTCGCCATAGTAGTATTTTGTACTTCAAATTGAACTTTATTAGATTATAGATAATATGATAAGAAAGAATTATAAGAAATCACATTAAAATTTTATTAAACTGTAAACACGTGGGCTTTGAGATTTACAAATGTATCCCAACTTATTTGTTTTTCCCACTTTATTTTCATTGTGGGATTAACAGCGGGACAGGTACAGAATACGAGTACAGCAGTCAAAACAGGTGGCAAAAAAAACATAAAAAATTACACAACCCACCACCTAGTTTTGGTTTTCAAAGCAAACACAAATATACAAGAAAAAAAGTTTTGACTGAAGTAAAACATTACACCTGTGCACTTGTTGTAATGTTCACTTTTTCACTGAAAGTCATTCAAATTAAAAAAGTTCATGGTAAATGTATTGTTCTTGTACTTTTCTAGTCTTACTTACCACTCAAAGTAATTTCATACAATTTCATACATCACATTCATCCAATCCCTCACAGACTCATGCACCATGTCTGACTTAGCTACACTGTGCTTCACTCTCTTATCACCTTACATTGATGAACACATCAGTAGAAAATGTGGGATTTAATGTCTTGCGCAATGATTCTTCGAAATATGGTTTGGGGAAGCCTCCTCATTGGTAGGTGACTGCTCTTCCTGCTGAGCTACATCCACACTGGGTGGTGTAATGCGTCTAAAAAGCTCTAGAATATATGATATACTGTTTTGACTTTTAATGTCTTGCTGTACAGATTAGTGACTTACTGGCAGATAATGAGGAATCTCAACGTAACATCCATCACATGAAGAAAAAAAACCAGCGACTGACCGCTGAATTGCAGGACACCAAACTTCACCTGGAGGGACAACAAAGCCGCAACCATGACCTAGAAAAAAAACAAAGGAAGTCAGTAAACAGTTTTTAAACAGTTAAGTTTGTTTGTGCATGCAGATTGTCTTTCTCCAGAATTCTATCACAGACCATGTAACCTATAAGTATTTTTTATTCATTGTTAGTAAGTGCTCCATTGCAAGAGGACAGAGGGCCCATGGCTCTTTGTACTTCTGCTAAAGTGTGATGAAGTCTCTAAATGATGTGTTCCGGACTCCTGCTGTGGCAAGTTCCTCTAATGGTATTAGCACTGCCCCCCCCCCCCCCCTCCCCAAATTAAAATTAAATATGCAAGTTGATCATTAAAGTTCATGTCTTACACTGAAGAAAATATTTCATACCATTCATGTAAGTTTATGGGGATTTTTTTCTGTACACCACAGGATCAGCACTCCTAGGTGAGTTCATGGATCCTCCTGTTTTCTTATCACAAACTAACCTTACCGTTAATAATAACTAGTCAGAAATTTGTCTCACAAACTTTGTATTTCATAAACACTTTTGCAATTAGAATACTTTTTAACTAGCCTTATTATTCTGCAATACTTCTAAGTAAATTAAAAAATCTTTAACAATAGACAGCGTGCACATCACGTGGCCCTGGGATTTGTAGGGTCTGTTCATATTTAACAAATGTCTTAAACATAGTCAATGTTTTTAGAATTGGGACACTTTTTAACCAAGAAAACTAAATATTCGACAACTGTGTTGAATCTTAAGGTATTTTTGGTTCTCCTTGTTAGTAATGTCATTTAAGAAATACCCTTTTTCCAAAGAGACTTAAATTGCTGCTGATTTTCTGGCAATTTGTCAGAGGCATATGATTTGTTGTGATCTGCCAACCCTCTGACAAATTGACTATTACCATTAAGGAAACATAATTGAGCTTGTGTTTTCAAGTTCAAGTTACAGTTGGCATGAGCAGTGCACTCAGCCATCCCCTACATGCAGAGTTGGAAATAATTTTCTCATGTAACACATACTGTAGACATGGCAAAAAATATATCCTAAAAGAAGACAGGCTTAAAACTGATATTGTTAACTTCCTGTTCACATTCTGACATCAGCCAAGTCTCATTAAACAGCACAATGCTGCTCTCCCAATATTCCCTCTGGTGCCGGATCAGTGCCACCCATCCATCCAATATTATAGAGATCTCACATTTTCCATTACAATGAACGGAGGGACGTTTGGACCGCCTGCTCCTGGCATGATGTTGAACTCCAGCATGAGTCCCTCATCTTCTTCTCGTCAGTTTCTTGGGGATGTTGGGTTTTGGGGAGCACGGCTGTGTTACGGACTGTTAACAGCTGATCCCTGGAGTAAACAATAATTACCATTGCTAAATGTCTGGCTGCAGAAACTTTTAAAGTTGAATGAAAGTGCAGGCATGTCAGTTTTGGTGCCCAAACTACAACTCTTATCTCCATGGCAATACATTGAAGAATAAGATGACCTCACAGCTACAAAGAAAAAAAGGAACTATAAGCAAGGGTAGTTCTAAATTAACAATGGAAAAAAGGTTTGTGTAAAGCAACCCTTTCATGTAACCATAGTTATAGGAGTATATTCTGGGAGTAAGTGGCAATTACTGCACCAGAGAAAATACAGGGATTGGACAATGAAACTGAAACACCTGGTTTTAGACCACAATAATTTATCAGTATGGTGTAGGGCTCCCTTTTGCGCCCAATACAGCGTCCATTCGTCTTGGGAATGACATATACAAGTCCTGCACAGTGGTCAGAGGGATTTTAAGCCATTCTTCTTGCAGGATAGTGGCCAGGTCACGACGTGATGCTGGTGGAGGAAAATGTTTCCTAACTTGCTCCTCGAAAACACCCCAAAGTGGCTCAATATGATTTAGATCTGGTGACTGTGCAGGCCATGGGAGATGTTCAACTTCACTTTCATGTTCATCAAACCAATTTTTCACCAGTCTTGCTTTGTGTATTGGTGCATTGTCATCCTGATACACTGCACCTCCTTCAGGATACAATGTTTGAACCATTGGATGCACATGGTCCTCCAGAATGGTTCGGTAGTCATTGGCAGTGACGCGCCCATCTTGCACAAGAATGGGGCCAAGGGAATGCCATGATTATGGCAGCCCAAACCATCACTGATCCACCCCCATGCTTCACTCTGGGCATGCAAAAGTCTGGGTGGTACGCTTCTTTGGGGCTTCTCCACACCATGACTCTCCCAGATGTGGGGAAAACAGTAAAGGCGGACTCATCAGAGAAAAATACATGTTTCCCATTGTCCACATCCCAAGATTTGCGCTCCTTGCACCACTGAAACCGACGTTTCACATTGGCACAAGTGACCAAAGGTTTGGCTATAGCAGCCCGGCCGTGTATATTGACCCTGTGGAGCTCCCGACGGACAGTTTTGGTGGAAACAGGAGAGTTGAGGTGCACATTTGATTCTGCCGTGATTTTGGCAGCCGTTTTTTGGATAGAATCCGGGTTAGCACCCGAACATCCCTTTCAGACAGCTTCCTCTTGCGCAGTTAATCCTGTTGGATGTGATTCATCCTTCTTGGTGGTATGTTGACATAACCCTGGATACCGTGGCTCTTGATACATCACAAAGACTTGCTGTCTTGGTCACAGATGCGCCAGCAAGACGTGCACCAACAATTTGTCCTCTTTTGAACTCTGTTATGTCACCCATAATGTTGTGTGCATTGCAATATTTTGAGCAAAACTGTGCTTTTACCCTGCTAATTGGACCTTCACAGTCTGCTCTTATTGGTTCAATGTGCAATTAATGAAGATTGGCCACCAGGCTGGTCCAATTTAGTCATGAAACCTCCCACACTAAAATGAGAGGTGTTTCAGTTTCGTTGTCCAATCCCTGTACAACAAAGCCTCTATTAATGTAAGTTAAGTATTTAAACAACTTATTTCAGTAAATTTTAAAATCATGTTTCTGTATCTATTTTCATTGTTTAGAGGACAACATTTACATGATTTTCAACGAATGGATCTATTGCACTGAATGTAGCTTTATGGTTGTAATTTGTATTATAATGGTTGTGCTAGTCATTTGAGCCAGTTTTATTAATGAGTAAAGTCTGTGGTTGTGTTTGGGTAAATGTTTGTACAAATATCTGTGCAGGTTTGACAGTGATCTGAGTGATGCCCAGGAGGAGGTGCTGAGGGAGAAAAGCCTAAAAGACAAACTCATTCGAGAAAAAGACCTGCTGAGCACAGAGATCTTCAGCATCCGGCAGCAGCTTGAGGTTGGTTTGTGTATTGTCCACACTGTGTTAACCAATATTGTTGTAATTATCAGTTGTGAGTGTTTATTTAATTAGCCATGTTTACAAGTACAAGGGATTCTATACACTCCCAGTAAATTTAACCTCAATTACAGTAATTTGTAAAGCCGGTCAAGGTACGGAGCTTGCTGAGTATAGATATCCTTCTTCATATTCCCAATAATCCCATTTTTAATTAGCCATATCTTTACACGTATGGAAAACATTTAGATACTATTTATGATAATAATCACAAGCTTACTGGAATAATCTAGGGGTAGCCCGTCATACTAAAGCTAGCCCCAGGTAGCTGAGATCTGTGTCCTTGAAACTATTAAAATACAACATACCGTTTTTCAGTTCCTGACCCTGGGGAGGCACAGTCAACAGTTAACGATGACTGCACTGTACACGAGACCCTCCAAAAAATCATTCTGTGTAAAAATTCAAATAAAGATAAAAAGTAGTAGGAGTATACAGCTATACTTTACTTTATTGATCTCAACATGGAGAAATTCAGTACAGCCCGTACCAAGATCAAGCAAACAAAACACATAGACACCAGTTCGGGAAGACCGTGGGGCAGCCAACCAGGGGGGCGCTCCGTTTTCCTTCAGAACAAAAATACATTGGGAAAATGGTTGCGGGAAGAGGGGAAAAAAAGGCCAGGGGACGTAACAGTGATTTAAAAAAATCACGCCAGTACATTAAAGAACAGATACAGGCAAATCACAACATCAAGGACACATAGGGAGGGAGGGATGGGGAGGTTGTAAGGAAGGGGAAAGGTAACAGCGAGGCAGTGAGTCGAAGGAATGCATGAAGTCTGTACTTGTGTGTGTGTGTAAGTGTAAGCAAGCTGGAGGTCCACATCCACAGGCTAGATGGAATTTGTCCTTGTGATGCCCATACTCCTGCTTGGGAAGAGGGAGGGGGTGGGGTGGGCAAAGCGTCCATCTGTAGTTTGATCCAGGGCAAATTTGCAGAGCAGCAGCTGCAAGGCCGCTCTTGGGAGGCCAGATTGAGATAAGAGAGATACCTTTGTTCCAGACAGAGCGTGTTTTATCTGCCTTAAGTCCTCAGCAGGTCTCTCAATGGCGATCCAATTCAGCCAAATTGTGTTAGTTTCCCTCCATCCGAACCACTAACTTCTCCAAGGTGTTACCCATCATCATCATGCTGTCAGACATCGTCCCCATTTTGCTCCTACAAGCCTCCTGAATGCTCCATTGAGCCTCCTGTTTGCTCACCAGAGCATCATGTTTGTGAGACAACTCGCACAAGGTTTAAGTCAGAGTGTAGATGGACCGGTAAACCGGATCGACAGGCAGCTTGCCACCAGTTGCCATCAGCCTCTGAATTTCTCGAAAACCTAGGTATCCACCAACTCCAATCAGTAGAAACCCGCTTATCATGAATCCAAATAGGTATAGGTCTTCGACGTCCTCCACAGAGAGAACTGAAAGGAAAAAACCATCCACTTCTTCCAGGCATCCATCGTGTAACTTGTCCAGCTTGGTGAGTCCCAGCTGGACAAGTTGCAGCCCCTACAGCTTGTAGGGGTAGTAAAGATGCTGTCAATTGCGTTGAGAGACCAGCCGACCGAATCCATGGTTGATGTTAGCCTTTAGGAAGAGAAAATGCATAAAGAGGCTCTGAGATACGACAGGACAGAAATAGCAAGTAGGCAAAAAAGACAGGGGAGGGAGCAGAGAAAAACATGTCTGCACTCACTGAGAGCCAGAAAAAGAAGGACATATATAACAATAAACAGGTTATATTACTCGAAAGTAATGCCTCTGTGCAATCTTGTGTATGCTTCACCAAAAACAGAAAAATGTCAAATAAAGTCTAATCTGCCAAAACAAACACAAAAATGCTTTGGCATATCATTCTAAACTTTGGATTGACACCTGGTCAATCATGTGGCTTTTAGGCTCTGCAGATGGTACAGTTTTTAACCTCTACTGTAGGTGCAGTTTAACCACAGTTAAATGTCAGATACAAAGTCTAGGCAGCATTAAACATTTAGCCTTTTTATAGATCTGGCTCCAGTTTACCTTGATCAACCAATTCAGTTGCATATATCCCCAAATATTAAACATCTTGCCGATTGAGTTATTTGGAGTTATGTGGAGTTATTTCTATATTGGTCTAATTATTTCCTCTCATTATCACTACTCTGTGCTATGCTCGACTAGAGTGCTCTGTGGCTCCATAGAAAGTTAGTAATTTTCTTATTAATGATAAATTCCTGGATATGCCAACCATATCCAGGAAATGTACAAAAACTGTAGCTTGTGATGCCAATTAAAACCTTCAATGATTTTCTGAAGAAACTAGTTGATTTTTAGTGTATGTATATATACATATATATATAGTATAGAATAGTTCTCCCTATTCTTCAATTTAGTGGGTTGTTTTCGTTAGGAGAGTGTTTACAGCTGCGTAGTGGCAGAAAAAGGAGTAGGGTTTTTTGGTGAAGAATCCTTCAAATGATCTCCAAAGGACAAATGTTTTTGCAAAATAAAGGTAGGGTCTATCTCTTTTTGGTGTGAGGAGTCTCACATCTGTCTTGATATCAACAGTCCTCCACAGAAATGCTAAAGAGTTTTCAAAAGGGTAAACTTCATGTTAATCCATTCAAGAATGCTAACCATGTCAAAGACCAATGCCAGCCCTGGTCCTCTCCAGACCGATGGGAGAGAACAGCCCCAATACCCTCATCGGACGCATCAACTTCAACAATTAACTGTCAGTCAGGGTCTGTTAGAGAAAGCACAGGGGCCGTCGTGAACCGCTCCTTTAGAGCCAAGAAGGCAGCCTCCGACTCTAGAAACCAGGAGAAAGTGCAGAGGATGGAGGTCAACGCAGATAGGGGAGCAGCGACCCGACTGAAACCACGAATGAAAAGAACCGCCGGAGCTGCGTGCAATCCGTAGGACGTGCCCATTCCTCCACCGCACGCACATTCCTGGGATCAGTGCGGACACACCCCTCTCCAGAATGTGCCCAAGGTACTCGACAGAGGCAGAGTGGAATTCACACTTCTCAGCCTTGACAAAGTGGTGGTTCTCCTGCAGTCGCTGCAGGACCAGATGCACATGCTGGCTCAGCTCCACCTTGAAATGAAAAAACACAATGATGTCATCCAAATATACCACAACAAAGGTATTGAGCATGTCCCTGAGCACATCATTGACAAGGGCCTGGAAGACAGCAGGGGTGTTGGTTAGGCCGAAAGGCATAAAGGGGTACTCGAAATGCCCCAGGTGGGTATTAAACCCTGTCTTCCACCCTGCTGCGGGCAGGGAAGACGATGGTCTAATTATCCTGGCGTTTAGGGACTGTAATGTAATCCCTCATAGCCTCCCTCTCTGGGACCAAGATTGTACAGGCGATTTACAGGAATGGTGGCCCCTGGGAGGAGGTATTTGGCACAATTAAAGGGTTGGTGAGGAGGAAGGGAGAGGGCCGTCTCCTTGCTAAATACCTCAGCAAAGTCATGATAGCAAGGAGGGATACTAGAAAGGACAGGAGGTGAGGACACAGGGTTGGATCCCCTTATAGGTGAAGGAGCGGCACGCAGACAATTGGCATGGCAGGCAACACTGCACCCTAGAATCTGCCCAGAGGCCCAGGAAATGTGGGGCTTGTGCCTCTCAAACCATGGCCTGCCAAGCACCAGGGGAGTTGCAAGGGCGTGGAGAGTAAAAAATACAAATCTTCTCGCTGTGATTACCTGACAACGTGAGGGTAAGGAAATTGGTAGTGTGGGTAACATGCCCCAGGGGGAACCCATCGAGTGCCTGAGCAGAAAAAGGAGAGTCAAGGGGAATGAGGGGAATACCGGCTTGGCGAGCAAGCGTGGCATCCATAATGCACTCATCCGCCCCTGAATCAAGAAATACTCCAAGATATGAAAATTAAGAATCCCAAGAGAGTAGGCTAGGGAAAAGATGATTCTTACTCTTCTTTCTTGGAGACTGAGGGAGAGGAGTTCGGCTCATTAGTACTCCCTTGTCTCATGAGCCGGGTCTTTTTGGCTGTGTGGGACATGCTGGGATGTGATGACCTGGGATTCCATAATAGAGGCATAGGCAGTCCCGCATCCACTGTTCACACCCCTCCTTGGACACCCGGGACCGAGCCAACTCTTTGGGCTCGTCTAGGACACATGGTGTGAGAATGGTCTTGAAGGATGTATAGGATGATGAAGGAACCTCCCGGGGAGCATCCCTGCTGATGGAGTGCGGAGTATAGTCCACTAACCTGGACCCCTGGGTAATTGAATGGAGACGCCTGACAGCATCTGCATCCATCCACAGCATGGAAATACCAGGCAGAACTTCCTCAGAAACGCTGGGTAATCCCCGTTAGCTAGAGATCCCGACTGGTCTCCGCAATGGCCCAGGCGAGTGTTCTTCTCAGTGAGGAAGGACATAATTAATGCTATCCGGGCACCCCTTGCTAAGTACCGTGATGGTTGGTGCTGGAACAACAGCTCACACTGGCCCAGAAAACCCCTGCACTGTCCAAACTCTCCTCCAAAAGACTTGGGGCAGGGGAGATTCGGCTCAAACCTTGAGTCAGGGGGAAGCAAAGCAGAATAAGAGGGGTAGAACCAGAGGAAGAGAGTCTGATCAGCACATCAATAGAGCTGTAGACTGATGCCCGCATGGTGCTGATCTCAGCAGACCGAAGAGTTAAAGGTTGGTTAAATTTTGCAGTCAGTAAAGCCAACTGCTTGGCATGGCCAGCAACTCTGGCTGCCAGGTGAGGGGGAAGGCTGGTTAGTTTGTCCTCCGTCTGTCTGGTCGGGATTTTTGTTTGGGTTCATCTTGGCTCTGACATTCTGTGAAGGCTCGACAAGAACCAAACCCCTGTAGCGAAAAAAGAGGAAACCTCTGGCAGTCTGTTATTTTAGGTGGATGCGCCACAGTTTATTCTCCCAGATGCATGTACAAAAAACAAACGAAACAATCCTTACAGTTTTTAATAATGCTTTGGACAGTTCTTAACCCAATTTAAGTATTTTCTTCAATCTCCTTAGATGTTTTCTCTGGTTGATGCATGCCAGTGATTTGACCTTTCTAAAACAGAATAACATCTTTTCCACAACCACGGGATGTGTCTTTCAGTATGGTAATTTAGGGAATTAGAATCAACTCATTGCACCAGTTGAAACTTGCGAGCTGAAAGATAATTGCCCATGAGGTAAGTGTGCAAATTGTGTCCTCTAGCAATATAGAATTATTATATAACATTAGAGTTATTTTTAAGTCTTAGACACAGATCGACTGTCTTGTTTGTCTGTGTGGTATAAATGTTTTGTTAAATAAGGTGGCAAACCCTAAATTAACTGCTTAGGAGGATTTGTAAGTTTTCAGTCATAGCAAAGAGATCTGATTACTTCAGATCAATTTTACCAACATTATTTCAAACAAAAGTAAGATATTCAAAATAAGTCTCTTTATTTTGGCATCCTCCCATTTTGGCATTTATTAAAAAAACATTTTGGGGTGTTGTTTCATTAAGAACAGTAGCACCACCACTTTTTTTCACCATGTTATTGTCAGAAAAAGTAAATCCAAATTGCGTTAAATTTGAAGTCATTAACTAACAGTGAGTCATTGGACAGAGATCTGAGTTTAAGTAAAGCTTGATTTGGGGAGTTTAGAGTGGTCTATGTTGTATTCTAAGTTGTGCATAGTAAAGGTAAATAGATTACATAGATTAACCCAGAGGGTTGACTGTTTTCGATCCCTCCTTTTACTAATAACGGATTATTACTAGGTCCCAGCTTGTTTTTAGAACAGCTGTTGGTAGTAAGAGGACTACAACAGGGACATTGAACTCATTATGTTCATGTTTGTCTTTAACTCTGCTGCTGCTCTTTGAACATCCTACATATCCCCTTATGCCCTACGTTTCTTGGTAGATTGGTGAATGCTTGGGTCCTGGCTGGTATAGAGACATCTTACACAGGATGTTACAATCATAGCGCCTAAATCTCTGAAAAAATAGAATTTAATTTATTTATATGTATCCAGGAGTTACTGCTCATAAATGTCTTCTCTGGATGCCAGGAATGGTGACGTTGCAGCCACGTTTCTGTGAAGCGCATGATACTGGACTCTCTGTACTCCCTCTGTGTCTTGGTGAGCGCCTCCAGTTCGTCCATTTATTTTCTAGCGACCACATGTTTCCACTGATGACTGCAGGGATGAAGGGCTTAAACTTTCTCTTCTCCAATTCAATTCAATTCAATTTTATTTATATAGCGCCACATCACAACAACAGTTGTCTCACAGCGCTTTCCAAACAGAGCAGGTCAGACCCTACTCTTAAGTTAACTACAGAAACCCAACAATTCCCACCGTGAGCAAGCACTAGGCGACACAGGCAAGGAAAAACTTCCTTTTAACAGGCAGAAACATTGAGCAGAACCATGGCTCAGGGTGGGCGGCCATCTGCCTCGGCCGGTTGGGGGTGAGGGGAAAGAGAGAGCAAGAGAGAAAGAGAGGGCGAGAGAAGGACAGAGGGAGCAGAGAGAGGCAGCCAACACAGCAACACGTAGAATAGATTAAAAATGGCAATGACATTAATGCTAATGATGAGCAGGAACACGGGGGCAGCAGGAAACTCCCAACCACAGATCCAGACTCCACAGCTCT